ATGTTTTTTTCGCCATTTAATATCGATGTGGAAACAGTTCCCGAAGACTTTCAAATGGAAATGATTGACATGCAGAATAATACCGATTTAAAAAATGTATTTTTCTCAGTAAACATCGAAAAAAATTTTTATAAATCGTATGTGAGTCCTGAGAAATTTCCACTTTTGACGAAAAATGCAAAGCAAATGATGTCTCTAGGCCAATTCTTGCACTTCCCTATAACAAGAGATTTCATAAATTTAACTATTTGCGAATAGTAATGTAATCTAGGTCTACTTCTATCCTCCTTACTTCTATTCCTTCTTCTAAAGTTGAGCCCACACTGTAGTATAGTGGTCGGATGGGGCGCGGCGGGCGTACGGACGGAGCGTAGCACACCGCACTTATTTGTTGTCAACGCACACTGATCAGAAAACGTTTTAACTGGAGGCGATGCGCATTGATCAATCACAGTTTCACAATATACGAGTCGCCTGATGAAGAGTTTTGAATTGTTCTCGAGTTAAAAGGGAAAATTCAAAAAGCACGGAAGAAAATACGAATTTGGCAACATAATAAAAGCTCAAAATGAGATACTTTTAGAGAATTTTCTCACTTACGATTATTTGATAACTTCTTATAATAGGATGGTAGAAACTTTTATAATAACTTTTGGATATGCAAGAAGTTTGCACTGCTACTGGAGCTAATCAAACCAAAGTAACCGAAATTGAGGGTACAGCATAGTTTTGTACTTCTGTTATTATTTTTTTGTTAAAATTCATGACGTTCGTACTGATAACAGCGGTCAATGTATCGCACACTGACATTTTAATTCCGATGCTCGGAACATTCAAATTTCTAGTACCTTAACATATATTTTTGCGATACATTTCGTCCACCTATTGTAGTTCAGGGTGCGCTCACCTCAGCTCATTTCTAACCTGTTTTTATCCACTGCATTTTCATCATTCACTCGTTACACCCAATTTTAAACGCTTCTGTCTACGTTTTGCGCAATTTAACACTCTTTTTCGAATTTATAATTTAACCATTCGTGGTAACAGCAATTATTTCCTTTGTTTTATGTCTCTAATGTTTTTTGATTTTGACTATCTAAGTTCCTAAATATCGAAACGTGGCTACTTTTCTCTCTAATTTTTACATTAACTTTAATCCTACATTACACTTACACACCAATACCAGGAATATGTAAATATAAAACATTAAAAAATAGATATTTTCTCATGGTAATATGAACCAACATTTTGTATTATGTTCATGAATCGCACTGGACCAATTTTTTCAGACAATTTTCAAACTAATTCATAACTGTTAAAAACAAAAGTTGAAACGATACCAAGTATTTTTATCGAAACAGATATAGGTACATTCAAAACAGATCATCGTAATTAAATGTTGTTTTAACGATCTTACGCCATCTTTTCTAATATATGTATAGGTATATATAAGTGCAGTTAGGACCATTAACGAAAATAGAAGATTGTTTAAAATCGGCATACTTTGGTCGCCCATTAAATGTCCGGAACGGAGTGCTTAGAACGTTCTGAATGGAAAGCCTCTCTCCGATATACTTATCCGATGGAAAGATGAAAGAGAGTGATAAAAAATATTTTCATATTTCTGCTATTTTAAGTCGCGTTCGTATTCTCAGGTTGTTGAAAACATTCATTTAATACTGAAATAATTCCGATCGCTTCTACTTCACGACCACTTTCATAATGCTTGTTTAACATTCCTTGTCAGAATATGTAGAAATTATGCCACGTTCTATTTAAAAATAAAACGCTATTACAATTTTTACTGAACTCCTCCCTAAAAATAGCGACGACACGTCAAAATAAAGTTCAAGTTATGAAGGGAATACCGCGAATTCGCATTTTTTGTACTAGAAACGACATTTGCAAGAAGGTTCATGTTTATGTACGCACATATAAGTACGCATGTATTTTATGCTTCACCGAAAATAAGAACACTTTAATCATCTTACGAAATTGGGATGCGCATAATAACTGGGATAAAAAAATCGTATTAAACACAACTACACACTGCAAACCGAAGTGTGTGATTAGGTGTGTGAATTTACATACGACACACAGATGTTTGATGTGTGACGGTCAAATACTATAAGCCTTAAGACGATAAGAACAGTGAATCGACCCCAGGGGTATATCTGGATTATTTTTTGAGGATATATTGGTACTAATGGGATACGTTAATCCTGAAAATTTTAGACCTCTATCTATTTTGGTTTTTGAATAAATCCAAACAATGAATAATCAGAAAATATTTTTTTTCTTAAAAACGGTTTAACCGATTTGAATGAAATTTATAGACGTTTTAGAGGCATATATGGGCTATACTCGGAAAAATTCATAATCTTTACAATAATCATTAAAAAAAGGCGATTTTTCCGAAATATTTTCTTTTCTTTGTGATAACGTTCTAGAACAATCTTCAAATTATTTTTTTTTTGTGTTTTTTTCAATGAAGAATAACCTCTCAAATCATTAAATCGATCAAAAGGTACGTCGTACGAAATACCAATTTCAAAAAGTTTATAAAATACAATCTACCAAATTAACATATGGTATAAAACTGTAATCAATTTAAAAAATTGAGTTAGAAAACCAATCTTATAATACATAATGAGTGGACTATCACATAAAGCTTTTAGATAATTATCCGAAAGAAGTAGGTATTGAATAAAAAGTATTGGGAAAAGAAAATTCTTTCATTTGTGTTACGTTTGAATTTCTTTTTTGTGTATTTATGAGGAAGAAGCTCCAGGAAAACCCATGCATATTATTAACCAGTGCGCAATAATGCATTTTGCAGACTCAAAGTATGTCTTGCTTTGATGAGTCATGGGGTTTCAGGATGTGTAAATTCAGAAGTATCAGTTGAAATAAAGAGAAAATCTTATGTCTCTATTCGTCGGGTATCCAGTACCTAGCGCAGCTAATGCCGTGTACGCGGTCATCCGGCAAAATTACTACCCGGTGCATCTGTTATGAAAACACTGTCGTTTGCAAAAAAAAAAGGTCTCCTCAAATAATGTTCCAAATAGGGTACTCCCTAAAAGTAAAAGAGTGAAAAATTGACTTAAATTCCCGTTGAAATAAAAGGTTAATAATCATAATAAACAAGTGATACTTAACTATGAAAGTGGTAATCAACGTATTTCACTGTGAAATTAGTATTATTAACGGATTCATCAGTTGTTTTGTCCTAATATAATCAGCTACTTAGGTAATTCACTGTTTTATCAGTAAAACTTTTTTAAACGAGTCAAATGCCTTTGTGATTGAATGCTGTATTGGTTTTCATCGTGATCCTATTTATAGGCAAGAAGGCATTTTATAGTAATATTAAAAATTGTTAGATGTGAATCACGATTTCGATCTTAGTGCACCAGCTCTATTGTCTTTAGTTAGCGTTTGATGATAATTATAAATATCGTAGTGAACGCCATCTTTAGAATAGTGCTACATCCTGTAGCATTTAAAAATATTTGAATTGGTCCATAAGGATATCGACTTGTCCAACTGAATCCACGGTATAGTTACCTCTACGTAATAGACACGTAACCAAACAAAACAGAAAGTTCATGGTCGAAACTGTTAAAAGTGGATGGCAGTTTCCATTTCTCTTTGGTTACGAACGGTTCAATTAGACAAATCGATATCCTTATGGACCTTGTCTAATCTTTGCTAAAGTCCACAAAATGTAATAATACCTACTTCAAAGATGGCGTTCATTATGCTGTTTGTTGTAATTCTGAATTTAAATTTATTTACTTTTTGTCTAGTCTGTGTTCCTCGCGAATGGTTAATTTAGAAATTTGAAAAAGATTGTTGGAAGTGTTGTATGGGTGGGTAGCATGAACGGTGGCCGCTGCGGAAAAGAAAAGGTTAGAAGAGTTTGAAACATGACGTTACAAGCGAATAAAGAGGATACTGTGGATAGAGAAGGTTAGGAATGAGGAGGTATTAAAAAGAATAGGAGAACAGAGATCAGTATAGAAGCCGATAAGAAATAGGCGAGATAGGTTGGAAAGATACCTCCTCAGGTATGAAGGGCTAGTTCGAAACATATTAAAAGCAGAAACAGGAGTTAAAAAGAGTAGAGGTAAACCTATATTAGATTACAGTTCACAAATACTTAAAGATATGAGATGTTCTAGTTTTAAGGAAGATGAGACGATTAACTCATGATATGAAAAAGTAAAGGTGCATGTTGAACCAGTGTTAGGACGGACGAACTTACGATAACTTTTTATAGGTTTCACTGATTCAATTTGTATTTGAAATTTACTGATTACTTCAGTTAACGTTCACTAATTGATATAACTCTCACAGATAACTATCAATTAATAAAAATTCACTGAAAACTAATGAAAATCCACTGATCCATTTTTAGAGAGTACGTTGGCGTTGGTAGAAACAATGTGCATAAAGTGAACGGTTACAGACTTTCATTAAAAACATTTTTTGTAGTGGAATAAACAAGAATTTTAATATCGAAATGAACCAGCCGTTGGTTGAGGTAAACATGTCATACCTTCCACGTTGCATGTTATATCCAGTTCAAAAATAAAAATATTCCTACTGCTCCGATACGCACAGCTTAGAAGATATGTATGTACTCAAATGTTTAACGGAATAATAAACATGTTTGCATACACACTTTTGCCATATGTCTAATCGTTAAACTATGATATGCGTTTGATTTCCGCAATATATGACATATTCATATATAACGGAAGATTTTGTCACAGTACCGCCTTAGACTTGATACACGCAATAATACAGCGAGCGATGGGTGAATATCATTTTTAAAATTCGAGGAATACCTACTGTGGCGTTCAAGTAGTAATTTTTTATTTATCTAAATAATCCGGTAAACTGCAGGAGGCAAGTCTGGGGAATGTCTCTTGCCAAAATGGATATTTTTGTTCGACGCCGCCAGCTCGTTGCTTCTGTCGTCGTACTACTACCAACTGGCATCAGTATCGTCGTGTGGTCAGTAAAGTGGACGCTACATCGCTTGCCATTGCTTGCTTTTTAACAGAACGTGTTGTTCGACGCGTCCGTCCGACCCTTTGCGTCCGTCCGTGACGTTGTCGTCGTGTGAAACACATCCGATCTAGTAGACAATTAGCGGGTTTTGACGAGTAACTAATACGCGATCGAATGCCACTCGGAACCGATTTACCACTCACCATCGATCAATAGAGTAAAACATAGAGTACCATCCGATGACAGTCAACCGGTACCATTGACTACCACCGTTGTACCGAACAGCATCTGATATATGCAGTCAAATAAATGAAGGCATGATATGGTAAAAGTTTATTAACAGCAACAGAACTTTTTCTGGTGCAGTGACGTCTTTTAATTATGAATAAAGTGCTAGGAAGATGACAAACACCAAATAAGTGCACAAATTAACATATGACGAAAAATATATGAAGACTGAAGAATTGACCACAATCAAATGAAAAACTGGGTGAAACAGAATTATCCTAAAATATCTCAGCGGCAGTAAAAATTCTATTTTTCAAGGGTGGCCAAAATTGTGTTTTCACATTAACACATCGAAAATTTTCAAAGCATAACAGTCAAGAGCAAACTGGCAAAATATTGCTCTTGATATCAATCGAGAATACTTCACCACTTCAACGAATCTTGAGTAGTAGAACGATATTTATATATTTCTCAAGAAGTTTTAAAAAACTGAATCCAATAATAAGTATAATCAACAAGAAACAAATAGACAATGTACGATCTGCAGGTTTATTGTGTTGAATCGACAGGTTTAAAGAAAGAGTGCGATCCAAATGGTTAAACTGGTCAGGTAAACCGTATTACACACACCTACGCTGTTGATCCATCGAAATGCACATCTTATTGTTTTCATTTAATTTTAATCGAAAGAAGAACACTCATTAACTGCTCAAACAAATAATTTTCAATAAAAAACTAAAGTATATTTTTGGATAACGTGCACCATTAATAAACGTGCTATTTCTGATACGAAATCGCTTGGTTTCATGCAGTTTGAAAGTCGCCGAGAGTAACAAAACAGCAGGGCAAACAAGCATCCAAAAATATTTTGAATGTTTGTTTTCTAACCACCCAATCTTAGCAACGTTTTATTATCCAACAACAATTGAATGATTCAAACAATTGCTCGGTATTTATTGGCTAGAAGTACTCGAATCTGGATGGCAGGCAATTAAGAGTGTTAATTATTATAACTATTACAGTTTATGGGTAATACGACGAGAAATATTTCCTCTATTTGTGTTGCTGGAGAAGTTTTCGGTAATTCATTCAAAATAGAAACGCTGACTGTGGTCACAACAAGTGATGCACGTATCTCGCGTCTTTTCAAAAAAAGATGTTATATAGAACAGCAGAGTGCTTGCACTTGGCCTACGTCCAATTCTGATACGGGGCTAAAATAATTAAGAAACAGGTGACACAGTTACAATCTCAACGAAATAGTAATACTGAAATGCCAGTCGCAGCATAGTTGGCTTAACCAGTTGATTTTTGTAAAAATAGAAATTGAAAGCATGGCCGAGCAGTCTTCCTCGAGATCTCGGAGAAAGAGCCACCTTTCGAGGAATTCTTCGCTGGACAGTCCAGACGATTCCATAAGTGCAGCCATGCTCAAGTCAGTGAAAGAGAAAAAACCTAAAAAGAAAGAACGATGGCTGCTAACTCGGAAAACGTGGAGGTACATGGCAGACGCTGGAAGAAAGCTCATACCTGATGGATCACATAATCGAGTAGAAGATATACCAAAAATAGAAGCTCATTTCCAAGAATTATGTCGACGAGAACCGGGATTCTTGCTCTGGAGAAAAAATTCATATCCAGGTGCCTTTAGTAGAAAATCATACAGAAAGAGAAAGGATAGACTCAAAGGAGGCTATAGAAAATCTATTTCGACGGATGACTTCGGTAGATCCGTCGAAAGACCCAAAGATCTTCCACTTTTCGCCACATCCGGCGGAAGAACTGATATGTATAAACTGAATCAGCAACTGACAAAATCGAAAAGCGCTTGGGAACTTTCTGACGAACCTTTAGAGCAACAACTTATTGAAATGCTAGAGAAATACCTTTACGTGTCTGGACAATCTCATATCGGGCAAAACACGTCTAGTTCGCTCACTAGTTTAGATTATCAGCAATTGATGGAAAAACTGCAGACTCACTTAGGCACAGTGAGTAAGAGCATATCCCAACCCTACATAACCACTACCAGAAGGGAAGGTGTACATTTTGAAGGAGATCATATTACCAAATCATTGACAGAAACATTAAGTAGGTACTTCAGTCAATCTCCGAAACGGGATAAAGTCATATCTGATTTTCTTACCGACAGAAAAGCTCTTGAAAAGCTTTACTTCGAACTGCGTCAAGCCAAAGGGTTTAGAAGTAATCGCACTGGTTTCTACACCGGAACCAAGCCTCACGTGAACAAATGGTATCCTTGGAAGTCATCTTGGAAGTCACCGCCATCGTCACTTCCGACTTCGCCTAGAGGACGTGAAGTAACTTTCGAGGAGCCGAAAATAAGTTACAGAAATTCAAGAGCTCAAACTGAAAAGTTGTCCGATGAACAACTATTTCAAATCGAACAAGAGTACAAAAGAGAATTAGCAGAAAGAGAAGAACAAGAAAAAAAAGAAATGAAGGAATATAAGCCGCCGGCGGCTAGAAGAAGGAGCAGTGTTGATAACGATGATGTTTCGCAATCGGTTAGCGATACTATCAAGCGATATTTGCGGATGGCACGTAAAAAAAGTGTCGATGCGGATAAAAATGATCGGTTTAAGCGGATAAACTACGATCGCAATCTGAGAAACATAAAAGCGAAAGGTGAAATTACTAAACCGGGTGATGACGATGGGTTAAATAAGGGCTGTCAAACGAACGAAGATTGGATCATGACGTACCGCGATTTAGAATTTGACGAACCGGAACCGGATACGTTTTCTGACCCAGATAGTTGCTTTACAAGTTCGCGGAACAGTATAGACATCGGTAACTCGGAATCGACACATTCCGGCTTCTTAACTAATTTATCAAATCTAATTTATGGAAAGTCTAACGATAAATCGTTATCATCTTCCGCAGCTAACAATACAGCAGCCATGCAGAAGTCGAAATCGTCTTCGAGCGTTGTGCACCATGGCAGTCGACTGGTCGCCAAGAAAATCTTTAGGTCGAGGTCGAAGAGTCAAACTAGAGCGTCCACAGCACACCTGACCTGGACTCCACAGGTGAGTCACATTTTAATAGTATGATTGTATTGGTACGTTCAAATACCGATGATGTTTGTACCTGTGCATGTATGTAGGTTAAACAAAAATAGATGCCATTCAGTTCTTCCAAATTGTTGCAATTTATTGAATGTAGTGCACACAAATTTCTATGTAAATTGACACAAGTACTAGAAACCTACTATTGGAATGCAGTGTGCAACAAAAACTGCTATAAAAGTCAGTCTGTTTAGTTAAGGTCTTCCAAATTGTTGCAATTTGTTAAATGTAGTACACACAAATTTCTGTGCAAATTGACACAAGTATTAGAAACCTGCTATTGGAATGCAGTGTGCAACGAAAACCGCTATAAAAGTCAATCTGTTTAACTGATGGGAGTTATTCAAACTAAGCACATACGTTAAAGTAGGTAATTTAGTTAAGACTTAAGATAATTCTAAACTAATCTACTTAACTGTTAAGAAGATTAGTTTAGAATTATCTTTAATGGTAAAGGGTACAAATCACACGCTTAATAATACCTACCCAAACTAAAGTTAAAAAAAGAAAGAAAAATCAAATGGATTTAGTTTCAAAGCGGTATTAACAAATGTTTTAATTGTTGCAAGTAAGGTGTCAGAGGAATTACAGAACTTTATTGTCATTATTAATTAAAAATGTTTTGAGGTATATCTGTTTCTGAAGAATCAGAAAAGAAATATTAATTCCCTCGTATGTACTCAAAAGTTGATACCTTGAATTTATTAGAATTTTCTTCTCTTCATCATGTACAATTTAGTTTGATATGTTTTTAACCATACTTATTACAAAACTAGATAAATCCATCTTAATTTCGACGTCAGGTACCTCTGTTGATATCACTACTACACATACGATTTAGGCCACAATGTGGTAGTCAGGGTAAATGCTGAAATAGATATTTAAACCAGCTCACTTTATTAGAATTGTTTAGTTCCATATATGAAATCCTATGACATTGTTAGTTACTTAATAGTGGATTAATATGCAATATTAATTTGAAATAATTTTTTCGATTTTTTATTTACCCCCGCCGGGGTGTGTGACAACAGCAACAATTTTTTTCTCATTAATTTGAGGTAGTTTGTAGTGGGTAAATAAAAAATAAAAAAAATGATTTCAAATTAATATTGTTTAGTTCCATCCATTAAGACATCCAAATTACTGATTTTTAATTAAAATTCTGATCGTTTTAATCATCAACTAATTCCAAAATGTCCCATCAACCGCCATTCGTTAGTTGCACCCATTTTATATACGTATATGATTACAACCCTTTTTTATCCATTTTTAATGTGATAATATCTTTTAAACCGTTTTCAATTTCAAAACTGAGTTGTTAATAAATCGATCGGATTTGCACCTCTTCCGTACATTTCTCCAAGGTTAACTGGGAAATTGATAATATCATTATAATATCATCAAACAGGGTGTAACAGAAATAAATACCGAGCTTTATGGAGGGTGTGAAGTAAATGGAATCGCATGGTGAGTACAACAGCGTAACTACGCTTAACTAAGGGCAAAAACAATTTTTAATAAAAAGCAGCAGTTTATAAGCCGATCCTGAGCATGATTTGGCAACATAACAGTGCACGAATAGCGAATTAAGATGAAAACTTTGCAGCTGTATCAATGGAGAATGTAAACAGTGACAGTTATCGAACATCTAAGATAAACAAACAATTTACTACTATATATAATGTTTGGACTACTTATTACGATAAAAATGAATTAAATAGGTACATTTCTTCATCGCTAATAACATGCAGCACTATATAAATTACACAATTACACTTGAACATTTATTAAAAACACGAAAGAAAGAAAACAATTTAGATTACGTAATACCAGTGATTATCATCTCGATAACTGTAATTTTATTAAGGCCAATTTACACACCACCATAGCCAGGCGCGTTATATTTTTTTGTGATTCGTCAGTAGTCCTGTCATTCCACTGGAAAATATGACTCAAACCCGTAAATAATTATCATGTCACACCATTGTTATAACTACTGTTCTCCAGTGACATACTGACCTATTCCAATGTCTGATAATGTATCGCTGAATTAGTTTATTGAACTGCACATCGATAGACTAAATACAAAGTTTAAACCTTGTAACATAAACACCTTGAATCACAGTTAATCTAATCTAACTAATAGCAAACAATACATGAGGAAGAAAGTACAAAAGAAATAATTACCAGCTGATTGAACGCGACGTTGCGTAGTCGTATTTCTTTACCAGGATCGAAAATAAATTTGTCTGTACCTTTAACTACGTTTTTCTCGAAAGTGATGAATTTTTGGGCATTCAAACATTTACATAATTTTCTTGTTTTATAGTAGCCTATCTTCTCCTATACTTATTACTATTTCACCCTGTATTTTACAAAACCCTAGTCCGTTAACACTTAAATCAATCGCCCATTTATATGTAAATAAATATACACCATGTTTGGCCAAAACTCCGGAAAAAGTTAAGCGAAAAGAAGGTGCATGAAAAAGAATAGTACACACATAAATATAAGGACAGTAACCTTACCGAAAACCCCAACTACTACGGCAATGATACTTTGTCAATCGAACGTTAACGAGTGTAGATTATTACTAATTATTACGTACAATTGACTTGTCTACGTATCAGCAGTTTGCGAAGGTCACGAATAGGTATGTATAACGCGGTAATTCTGCTCAATCATTAACGGCTAGTTTATTGGGGAACACATTTTACATCCCCTAAGTTGTGGTAGTATGACGAATGTTACCCATCAAACATTCCAGAATACTGATCAGACATAGTGTACATACGCCAGATAACATTAATATTGATACGAGTTCTTTTTAACCTGAACAATATCAAACATTTCGTTAGTTTTACTGAGGCATGGTTCGTAGCTCGCCACTGCTTGCAGTTGAATGTCGCCATTTTCGATTTCACGTGAATATGATTCGGATGGATTTAGGGATCTACTATTTACTTCCTTTCGCCTGGCTAGACACGCTGTATAAAATATTAGCTACTTGTTATGTCTGAAAAATACCGACTATAAGGTGTCTAAATAAATATCCATCTCTATAGCTTCTATACTGGAACCTAGTTAGAGAAGTCAATCAAAAACTCGTTTTGCCACAGTGTTTTTCCTCTACAACATATGGACGTCGTAATTAAAATTATAAAAAGGAAGCGGTCTATATTTTTGGATGTACCGTAATTTTGTTTTACGACTTTATCTTCTGAACAGACAGTGAAAACTAATAAAGTTAATTCACTAATTAATTACGAAATAAAGGATCAAATTACAGCGCCGTTTTATCACCTCCTCTTCTAATTATTTAAAATTTTAAGTTAATTTGCTATTCAATTTCATAAGAAATTTAGATTTTCTAAGAGAAAATTTTAGTATCTTTAAATTTATATAAAGCAGACGTAACTAGGTTTTTTTATTGCTTACTTGCATGTTACAACTGGCGCTTTCACACATTTCATTTACATTTTAATGCAACTAAGGTAAATAAAAACCTGGTGCCTGCTTCAAAAATTACATCACAGAGACGTGTTTTCTTCAAACTACAAAATCCAAATTTAAACTTTATGGGGTGGTCTGTCTCATGTTTTTCTTACAGAATATGTATTATGTTTGCTGACAGGAAGTTAAATATAAAAGTATACCCATACGGCTGTATAAATTGTGCTTTGTTCGATTTATTTTTTATGTTCATTAACTAATAAGATATTTTTTTGAGATTATGATCGACGACGATGTACAAATAACCTAAACAAGTGGACAGCTTTAATACGTAAGGGCTGTAATCGACAAGACCGATTGGGAGACACGGAGATAAATTAATAGAATATTACAGAGCAGAAAAATTAAAATCTGCATGAACAGCTTGTGATGCCATAAAAACAATTCTACCAAAACTAAAAGAGGCCTGGATCAAATCATAAGTCTAGCAGGCACTAGTGACTTTTGTCACGGTGACAATAAACATATTATTGTTGAAAGAGTTCTTATATGTGCGCACATAGAGCGATAGTCAGAATGTTTCGTCATTCTGCAAGATGGATCTCAAAATTTCAGTTATCTGTGCACTTGTCTTTAGGAATAAGAAAATTACAATAGTAAATACCTTTGGATTCATCCACTGTAAAGTCTAAGATTAGTAAATGGAAAGTTTTATAACGATGCAATGATCAACAATTGCATTTTTATTACATCATCTTCATGTAAAGACGTGTTTTAATTGCAATTTGATGTTAACGCCTTTGTTAGGGGTCTTTGTATTGCTTATTTTTGGTGATTACGTCAGAAATATTTATGATCAACATGTGAGGCGGGGTGTAATCTAACTTTCGCGTATCCAAATGCGCGCACTTCAATCATGAACAATAGACTTGACCAGAGTAACGGAACAGTCACCGTGACAAAAGTCACTAGTGCGCGTTAGGCTTTAGTGAAGTCTATATCTTGACAGTGCCCGATTATCTAAATTAGAATTAATACCACACGAAGAAATCAAAAGACTGATGAAACAATAGTGGATAGAATATAACACAAATGTCCTAAATGGTTTGGACATTTTTTAATATTCCAAACGAAAAATAAATATGAGAATATTGCATGAAGTAAGAGAGGAAGACCGCAAAAATTGTGCAAAGAAGGTATGGGTATTCGGCGATGAGAAAAAGGACCGAGCGGCATGGTCTAGAGGTCTAGACCTTTGCTTAGCATTCGGGAGGACGCCTTGGTCCGTCTGCCTTGGTCCAAGTTTTTCTGTGTTTCCTTGGTTCACTTAGGCAAATGCTGAGGTAGTAATATTCCACAGATAATCTTTCACTCTCTTCTGTCTTCATTTCGTCCGTTTCATCTTTCTCACCCGAACCACCACCCACCCATTCCCACGATTCCTTCAAGCAGGCTGAAGAGGGCCTTCCGCCCTACCTTCCGGCATAGTCCGGAGGGACTGCCCGCCC